CACCTCTGCGCGCGGCCGACGTGTAAATCGGCCGCAAGAAAACTCGTCGCCTCAGCGACGGCCACCTGCTCTGCCCAGGGCACCCGATGAAAGGTTATGAGGGGGAGGCTGAGGAACTGGATAATAGTAAGTAAGAGTGTTCATGGAAAGACGGAGGCAGAGGAAGACATGGTGCGAAAGAAACTGAGGCTGACTGGGGAGGGCGGCAATGTCCTGACTCGCTGCTGCAACGAAGATGCCGAGAAGCCTCGCACCCGTCCTACTGCGTGCGCTGCTTCTTGTTGGTAGCCTGGGTATCTTTGATGAGCAGCGCGCCCCCCGCAGCGACGGCCGTGGAGTTCACCAGGATCGGCACGTTCACCGCGATGGTGGTGCGGTCCTTCGGGGCGGCCTGGACCCACACCTCAACCGTGGCGGTGGAATGGATCATGTTGGCCTCAGCAGAATCAGGCGTGGTGCCGACGCACCAAAATGGGACGACGCATGGCGTGAGCGACTCCTTGGTGAGGTCGAGCTTCGGGGACAAGAAGAACTTCCCTTTCATCTGAAACGACGTCCGTAGCTCCACGCCGTTCGCTGGTACTTTCTGTCCAAAGCATACGTTTGCGGTCAGAGGGGCCAGTTTGATTTCACCCACTGCGTGTGCTTTTGATGCCTCCACCCTCTTGCCGACCTCCTTGCACGTGATCACGTTCAGCGACATGCTGTCCTCGAACTTCCTGTAGTACTCTGCAATGGCCAGCGTCACTTGGGCTTTGAACACTTCAATCTGGATGTCCTTGTGCTTCGCTGCGCTGACGACACCTGGGACCCTGAAAACATTCTTATCTGATTTTTTTTACGGTCATGTATTCGTCCACAAGCTGGCTAATCGTCATCGTCGAGGTCTGCACGGTCTGCTTGCCATCGATCTTCGCGATGGGCAAGTGCTTCACGCTAACCTTGTCGCCCTCGATGCCCGTGATGATCGTCCTCGTGATCGCGTCGAGCTTGTCGCCCTTGGGCGTGATCTCCACGTCGACCCCGAAGCCGAATCGCTTCATCACGGACTCGCCGAGAGACGCGGCGCCCGAGGAAGCCGAATATTCGAGCATCGCCTCAGTGTCCGCTGGCTGAGTCTCAGCATCATCGGCTGCAGCACGCTGGCGGGAATGGCCGAACGGAACATTGACATCCCGAGCCGCTGGGAACTTAGCGTACACCTCCTCCAGGAATTTGTCAGCTATCTCCTGTAAGCTCTTGTACTCGACCCTGGTCTTCGTCTTCTTGGAGTGCACGAACATGGCCATGCGCACGTCGAGCCAACCGACCAGCATGGCAACGTCGAGGCTGGAAGTGACCTGCATGTGTGTGAAACCTGGTGCAACCCATCGCGCTCTCTGGGTCGGTGGGTGGGTCTGGCGCGAGTGGCTGCTGCCACTCGCGCCATGCGACACCGCCTGCCGACCCAGGGAGCGCGAGGGTGGGCATCGGGTTTCACGCACCCCCCCACCTTGGCGTCGCTCAGAAACTGCTTGCAAGACCTGTGCAGCTGGACGCCCGCGATGGCCTTCATCTTGACCGAGCCCGACGCAAGCCCCTTCATGTCCTGGCTGTTGAACATCCGCGCAACTCCATCTTTCATGAAACTTTCTGGTGAACAGGGCGTCGCTTTCAGGCACGCAGCTATCCATTCAGGCCCCTGGGTAAAATCAGCTTTTGCCAATACCTCGAAACTTGTCGGCCCCACGTTTCTCTGCTTGTCGCCGAGTGTTTTTGCAAAATCAACCACATCTTGGATAAACACTGGGTTCTGGCCACCTCCAAAGTTTTTGACGTACTCGCACATGGGCAGGACGCAACCTACGAGGTGGCGGCGGTTCCTCTCGATGGTCTTGGCGATGTCGGGCCAGCTCGGCGTCTTGTGCATCCGCATGCTGTTCATTGCGACCTTGGGGTCGCAATCTGACGAACGTATGTCAAAAGGGGCAGCACCCTGGTCCGAAGCGTTTGGGCCCCCTTGAGGCCCCGACGTTTTCCTCCGAAGCCCCTGGACTCCAACGAAAATCTTAAATACGTCATTTTTTCAATCGGGCCTGATGTTGCTTAGGGGGATGGGGATTGGGCTGTAATTCACATGAGCGGCCAACCTTATGTATCTGTAATAGCGCTTGCACTTTGGATTGTAAGCGTTGTGCACCAGCACCCACATTGAGAGAATCTTGAATGAATGCTGCCAAACCATCGATCGTAGCCTCCACCTGCCACCGAACGATAATATATTCCAAGCCCCTGTTCATCGGCTCCGCTATCGAAGGGCACGCGGCAAGAACGCGGTCTTTGCTGATAAAACCGTCGGGGCCACATAACTCAGGATCCATTCCCTTCGTTTGGTGTTTAACGCACCTGAGTACCGCCGTCGTGTGGGATCCTGCTAACGAGCACAAGCGAGCGTTCGGACTTGGGCGTGCAATGTAGCCACCAGATCCATCGGCCAGAGTCTCATTCCATTCAAGATATT